TACCGCGCATGTGCAGATGTTTTCTTCTTCTTCTGTTCGTTTAATGGCAGTTTACTCCCCAGTGTATGAGGATACTGCCACCTGCTGACCGAGCGAATGAACCCTATTGTAAACTGAATTGGCAACATTACAAACGCGTGTTAAATTTGATTTAGTGATAGTCGAGTGTGTTTATGCTTGTCTGTGTGGAGAGGATTGACTGGAATAGTGATGATGATGTCCGCTATCACTGTCAATTGTCAGTAAACACTTAATCTGGCTGATGAATCTTCACGTGACACATTGCTAAATCAATATTATTAAGTCTGTAATAAGGCGCCATTCTTATTATTTTACGGCGCCGTTGTTCAATCTGGGAACGCTCTCTGTTGAGGAGAAAAGCATGAATTTGTTTGTATACGGATTATCCATTGCTTAAATGTCCCGGGCAGTCGAAAAGGAGGCAGAGCTGTTGAGAAATGCTAGGAGCTAACTGGGCGCTAACCGTATCATTCAAATATATTGAATGTCGCAATGTTGGCAAAGAGAGGAAGTGACGTAAGATTTGCGCATGCGGGGTACCGATCGGGTTTCCGGTACGGATCGGGTAGTGACAGGATCTTACAAAGCTTCAAACGACACCTCGACTATTAAATTAGTCGTCGACGTAATCGTGACTAGTCGACTAATCGTGGCAGCCCTAGTTTACATACCTGGAGTCAACCATCTAAAGTAACGGACAGTGTACAAAAGAGGTGGAGATGAGTGTTTGGTTGATTTTATGATATCATAGCAATGAGAATGAAAGGAAAAGTTTATGAGATGGTAGTGAGACCTGCTGTGATGGTTTGGAGACAGTGGCAGTGATTAAAAAGACAGCATTTCGAGGTGGCAGAGCTGAATATCCTCAGATTTTTATTAGGAGGCACAGGATTAGAGATGAGCATATTTGTCACACTTGCATTTTTCAGATCATCAAACACATTTTAATATTAGACAAATATAACAAAGGTAAATGCAAAATACAGTTTTTAAATAATGATTTCATTGATTAAGAGAGGAAAAGTTATCCAAACCTGCCTGGTCCTGTGTGAAAACCTAATTGCCCCTCTTGTTAAATCACGGATTAACTGATTAACCACATAGTTTGGAAAGCTATATTCAGTTTCACTAAACGCACTCAGGCCTGATTACTGGCAGACTTGTTGAATCAAGAAATCCCTTAAATTGAACATGAATGACGAAGTGAAGCAGACAAAAAGATCTCAAAAAGCAACACATGCCAAGATCTAAAGAAACACCTGGGATACAAAGTCACTGACATATATCAGTCTAGAGTCAAAGGTTACAAAGCCATTTCTAGGGCTTTGGGACTCCAGCAAACCACAACGAGAGCCATTATCCACAAACCTGGAACAGCGGTGAAGCTTCCCAGGAGTGACTGGCCTACCAAAATTACTCCAAGACCACATCAACAACTCATCCAAGAGGTCACAAAAGAACCCAGAACAACATTAACAACATCTGTTTGTGACCTCAAGCTGAAGTGCACTTGGGTTCTGCAGCAGGACAATGATCCAAAACACACCAGCAATTTCACCTCTGAATGGCTAAAGAAAGGCAAAAATAAGGACTTTGAAGTGGCCTAGTCAAAGTCCTGAGATGAATCCGATTTTCAAACGGTTCATTCTCAAAAACCCTCCAATGTTGCTGAATTACAATAATTCTACAAAGAAAAGTGGGCAGAAATTCCTCCACACCTGACACACCAGTTCTTGCTGGTAAAGGAGGCCCAACCAGTTATTCGGTTTTTCACACCAGCCCTGTAGGTTAATAACTCGATCCTCACAATGGCTTTCAGTTTAAGTCTAAATTAAGCCCCATATTCACTAACACTTCATTTATTTCTCTAAACATGTGCAACAACTGTTTTTATATCCTGCCAGATTTCCTCTCCCCAAACCCTCACCCCTCCACCTGAGCGCCAGTCTCCATCATGGACAACCTAGAGGAGGACCTGACTTGCTCCGTGTGCTACTCTCTGTTCTCCGACCCACGAGTCCTGCCCTGTTCACACACTTTCTGCAAGACCTGCCTGGACAACCTCCTCCAGGTGTCGACTAACTACTCCATCTGGCGTCCGCTCCGCCTGCCGCTAAAATGCCCCCACTGTCGCAGTGTGGTGGAACTGCCCCCCGCGGGTGTAGATGCTCTGCCCACCAACGTGTCTCTGCGGGCTATTGTCGAGAAAGTAGGAAAGAGTGACTGAGATGAAGTGTAACATGCAGTCAGAGCTTTTCTCTCTCAGTTTGTCTTCATTGATCTCACATCTGTTCTGCCTGTGTGCCGTCCTCAGTATCAGATGGACAGTGAGCCGCGACCACCTTCCTGTCCGGAGCACCACAGGCAGCCTCTGAACATGTACTGTATCCAGGACCGGCAGCTAATCTGCGGGCTGTGCCTGACGGTGGGGCAGCACCACGGCCATCCCATAGACGACCTGCAGGCAGCTTTTATCCGAGAAAAACGGACGCCGTCACAGCTTCTGAAAAGGCTCTCCGAGGAGAGATGGGCACAGGTGGAGATGACTCTCAATTTTGCAACACTCAAAAATTCCCCAGTTATTAAAGTTTAGTTTACATGTAAATTAATCTTCTCTCGTCTGCCAGGTGTGTGAGCTGGGGGAACAGCTGGAGCAGGAGAAGGCCTGCTGTGAGGGTGTAGTGAGGCAGGACCGACAGGAAGTCAACCAGTTTTTTCAAACGCTGGAGGTGGTGCTGGCCAGGAAGAGGCAAGCCTGCCTGGACGCTCTAGATAAAGCTGGAGCTGAGGTGTCGCGGGCGTATGACCCTCTCATCCACCAAGTAAAGGAGCTACAGGTGTGTACATACACCAGAACTATAAAACCAGTTGTGTGCTCATCAGACAGAATTATTTAATCTAAAATAAATCTGGAAAGCAGAAGCAGAAAAGGTTTGTTATTTTTAGTCAGTTTTTATTCATATTATTTTCTGTTTTTGCTCCTGTGGCATGCACCTGAGCCAATAACAGTCCTGTTTCCTGCAGGAAGAACAGCTGGATCTGGTGTCCTTGGGTTCGTCAGTAGAGGATGAAGACTCACCCCTGGTCTTCTTGGAGAAGGTGCATTTGTTCAGAGAGCGGGTGGAGGAGTTCATTAAAACCCCTCTGCCCTCTGTGATGACCCTGTCCGTCACTCCGCGGGCAGCAGAGTACCTCCAGCAGCACTGGCCTGTCGTGACCATCGGGAGCTTGGAGGAGGCACCTGTTCCTAAGGTGCGCTGTTGTGCCAGATGTGGCGGTGTTGGGAGTGAAGCTGGAGGGGGTCGCTCCAGCAGAGGGGTTCAGGATGTGTGGGGTGAGCTACAACCTACTACGTCGGTGGTGCTGCTGGGGCTGCTGCTGCTGTTGGTGGTGCTGTGGGTGAACCCGGTCGGAGGGGCGTCACTCGGCTTCTCCCTCATGTCTCGGCTCAGCCACTTGGTCCACAGCCTGAGCAGCGAACTCATCACCTGCGTGTGGGACACAGTGGGGAGGGCATATACCGCGGCGGGGGTGGCTGTAGATAGATGGAGCTCACAGCTCTCTGCGGTGGGTGTTAGGGTGTTTGAGCACCTGGCTGCCTTATTTAAAACTCTGACGTCTCGATAAGAACGGCCAAGCAGGTTCAGAAAACCTTTAAATGTGTTTAGATTTTTTTTTTAAGTCTCACTTCCCTGTTAGTGTAGAGACGGAAAGAATCCACCCTAAAACAGTTTGTAAACAGCTGCTACTCGCGATTTTACGTTCCTGTTTTGTTTAACAAAACGAAAGCCACAATGGTGAATGAGATTTTGCTGACGTCTGCACAGCGAGGGTTTGGGACAGTGACCTTTTTCACGAACAGGAAAACTTGAGGTCATTCTAAACAATAACAAAAAGTCAACCAATAGATGCAAAACATTAATAAAAGATTCATTAGAAATGCCTTAACAAGTATACCTTTAGTCACACTCAAAAGGTTACATGTATGTATGTTTTCTCTAATGTGATTGCTTGTTCTGCACAAACATTTCAAAGCTTCCTGTAACCTTCTGTAGGTGCACTTTGTGTAGCTTTATATCCTTTTTCCTCTATTATTGTGTTATTGATTTTGCTCTTCTTTGGACGCATGTTACTCTAATGTTCAGAACATCAAACACTAATCCATCTTGAACAGTTCGGTCATTCTCTGTCCAGTCTTGCTATGGAACATTTCAGTAGCTTTCTTGCCGTTTCTATACTTGGGACACGAGCGCAGCCGGCTACACGTAGAAGCCCTCACACGGAGCGATTTACGGTGACTGGAGCAGTATGTAAAATTTAGAGCCTGGTGAGTGGAAGCAGACACACGTTGGACCTGAGTTAAAGCCACCACAGATCATGTTGCAGTGATGCCGAGCGCCTCCCTGACTGTGCCTTTAGCCATTATGCCTTCAGCTCGCCTCGCTTAATAGCTTTACAGTAATTCCACCAGGACCAATACATCGTTCCCAGGACAGAGCTTACCTTAAAAAACAAAAGAGCCCCTAAAATGCTGCCCTGATTTACAGTCAACTTTTAAAACTTGTTACTTTATTTTACTCAGTTCAGCTCTTTACTGAGTATCCAGCAGATATCTGTGCAGTGATGTAGACTCTGCACAGGCATGATACAAACCAGGATTTTATATGCTGCTGAAATCAGACTGAACTAATGTAGTCACACCTGTTGTAGTGTTTGTACTTTTATAAACTTCAGCTCATGTATTGAAAATAAACTTATAAATAAATTTAAATACTTGTGTCGTGTTCAGTTTTTCCAAAGGTGAGATGAAACATTTTGTGCTGCAATGAGAATGATTATTAAGTGAGCTCCCTTTACCGAGCCAGTAGCGTCAAATATATCTGCAGTTTAAGTTGCAAAGGGAAAAGCTTGCTCAGGTATTCAAACTCCCTACACTGTTGGCTGAACCAGCAAAACTCCAGTATCACTGTAAAGACATTTAACTACACATTTAATATAAAAAGGATTTAATTTTAATAGTACATCTCAGATTTTACACACAGACAGCTGCTGTAACAAATGCAAAACATTTGTCAGCACATATGAGAAAATAAAAATAGCAGCATTTCATCATAAAGAACACAATATTTACATGATGTGTGAAAGGTAAAGTAGAAGAGCAAACGGGGTTCTTGGGTTTAGGCAGTGATGGCGTCGTGCTCTTTAAAGACGATGGTCTTTGGGTTGATTCCCACACTCTTGGTGGTGTTGTTAGTTTTGTAGATGCCAATGAGACGATCAGCGATCTCGAACATGTTGTTCCTCAGGGAAATGATGATGAACTGTGCGTTCTTTGTTTGCTCCTGAAAGAAAAATAAGTTTCCTTTAGTTTTACACCACCTTGCTGCTTTTTATTATTATTATTATTATTATTATTATTATTGGGACAGCTGTTGAACATAACAGTAGTTTGCCTTTTTACACTTTCTTTGCTGTCACATTTTAACTTATAATTGAAAAATAAAGAAGACAGAAAAAGAAGAGAAAAGAAAAGAAGAAAACAAAAAACTAGGGTTAGGAGGCAGCAGGGCAGGTAGGTTTACGTAGTACTCAGGGTTGTAGCATCATATACAAAATCACACCTCATATGCTTGACATAGTCTGTCCATTTAGACCATATTCCGTAGAAGGTATCCCTCTGAAGTTTAAGACAAAATGACACTTACCTTGCTGCTTTTTAAAGTAGCACTACTACTCAAAAGGGTGAATGTTTGAGGCATTAACAGAATCAACCGCTCCATACTCACATAAATGTAACAGGCCACAATGGAGACGTTCTTGAAATCAAGAGCAGCATCAATCTCGTCCATGAAATAGAGTGGTGTGGGCTTATAGTGGTGTAGCGCAAACACCAGAGCCAAGGAGCTGAGGGTCTTTTCTCCTCCCGACAGGTTAAAGATCTTCTTCCAGCTTTTCTTGGGAGGACGAACACTAAAAAAAAAAAAAAAAAGTTTGTTTGTCAAGCAATTGCATCATCACCAAAAAAACAAAACAAAAAATACTCATGTTTCGACTGTGTGAGATCTTAGAAAGACGCTGTGTGTAATTCATCATCTCCAGAAATTGAACACACTCCATATCTCAGTGCTCGAGCTCACACATTTCAGCAAACAAGATGGCTGATAGCAAACAATGCTTAACACAGTCCAACAGCTGCACACAGCTGTAACTGCTATTTTAAACTTCATGAGTAAAAGTACATCACATGCTTACACCTGACCATGTGCAGGTCAGGGCATTAGTGATGTGTGTTGTTCAGTACTGTTACTTGTTTTTACCAACAGTATCCTTCATTTGAGTCCTGTAAATGTTAAGAGGAAGATTCGGGATCAGTTTTAATGATAGAAGAAAACAGACGTACACTAAAAGAACAGTTTCACTGTGCTTGGCAGAAAGTTCAGAACATTTTAGGAAGAGGTCAGAGTGACGTAAGAAAAATCATAAAGCCAGTTCTACAAAATCTGAGGAACATAATTATAATGAAATGAATGAATCTCAGACTTTTAAATGCCAAAAAGATTACTGCATTTGGAAAAAGGAGAATAAGAAATTATTTTTATCCCTCTAATGTGAAAGACAAACTGAAGGACAAACTAGATCTCTCAAAGGGTCTGAGAGCTTTTTTTTGTGTTAAAGAATTTAGATTTTTACAATAAGTCGGCCTGAATATTTGTTTAATTCAAAGCAGGCAGGATTTAGTTTGGTTTTTAGTTTATTTGGATTGTTGGGATGTAAACAAGTGTTTGGTTTTTCTATCAGATGTCCTCGACATTAATGAAAAAACTAAATTGATTCAAAAGCAAGCGATGAAATCTCTGCACTGATGACCTCGCAGTGATCACCTACAGTCACTCATGCTTTACCTGAACATGATGCCCTCAGAGAAGGGGTCCAAACTGTCCACGAGCTCCAGCTCTGCATCACCACCCAGTGTAAGCATCTGGTAGTTTTCCTTCAGCTTGTTTGTGATCATGTTGAATCCAGTCATGAACTCATTGAGGCGCTGTTTGCGCAGGTCCTCGTAGCCACGTTTGAATTTGTCCCTCTCTGTAGTGATCTCATCAAGCTGGGCGACACGCTGCAAGTAAAGCTCCTCCTGAGAACACAAACACGCACACGCACAGGCAGATTGACATTAAAATTAGGCTGTGAGCTCATTTCCGTTTTTATAAATTCTAAACAGAGCTGCTTAAAATAAAGCTATAAATGGACCAAGAGAGTACCACTAAACATGCTCCACACATTGGCTGAACCAGCATTAGATGAGCCAACAGATCCAGAAAAAACATCAAATAAAACAGCAGTATTAACAACAGTCACTGTGAGTTTCAGCAACGGCGAATTGTTAGGTAGCAGGCTGCCTGTCGCGTCTGTGCATACCTTCTTCTTGTACTCTGCGATGGCCCCGAGGTTGGGCTTCATCTGAGCACACTGGGTCTCTAATGTGATCATCTTGTTGATAATGATGTTGGGATCTGAGATTTCATCGAGTTCAGCCGGAGTGAGCACAGGGAGTTCCTCTGCTGGCTTGTCCTCAATGGTATGAAGGGACAGCTTGGAGGCCTGTGGAATAGAAACAATAGTTTTTACTATTTTACACCATCATCCTGTAGAGCAAACAGAGATACAAATCAAAGAGCCTCAGATATGATTAAAGCATTCACAATTAGAAAATGAAAAAAGTATCAATATAAAACAAAGTGTGTCTGTTATCACTGGACTATTTTTGTCCCTTGCTTTAAGTTTGCTGAGTAAATCTTCATTAATGTTATTGTTACAAGAATAAAACTATAGTAGTACATCAATTCACAGCAACACCTTTCCTCTCCCACCTCTTTCTGCCAGTGTTTGATTTTGTTATTGTGTTCGGTGATGGTGGCCTCGATCTGCTCGATGCGGAGCCGGACGCCTAGGGACTCCTCCTGCAGAGCGTGCTCCTGCTGCTGCAGCACCTTTATCTCCTTCAGCACCCCCTGATACTGCTCCTGCACATCTGGCAATGCAGCCTGGAAGAAACAGAAAAAACAACTAACATCAGTCCTTCACACGTTCATTTTTTTTCTTACAAAATGCAAGTGGGACAGCAATGTTTTAAAACAACTTGCTAAAATGTAAAATCTTTCTGAGAATAAATCAGTGCAAAAAAAATAAAATAAATAAATAAATCTTTTTCTCTTTTTTTTTTCCTGTGAAGAAAAATAAAACAACCAAAGTGGATGAAAAGTTCCAACCTCAGCCTCCTGACAGTCTTTCATGATCTCTCCAGCCTCGTCTTCCAGTTTCTTCAGCTGTTCTGTGAGTTCAGCTATTGACTTCTCATTCTCCTCCAGCTCACGCTGCACACAAGCCACACTCTCCTCAAACTTCTTCAGGTTGCTACAGAGGAAACGGCAACAGTCAGAGTTGGTGACAGACACATGATATTAGAAAGATTACTGCTGATGATCAGTAGTGGATCAAAAACATTACAGAATGCCTGTAATCATCCTGCCTGCACAGGAGGCCAGCTGTAAATTGATCAATATGTTAGAGCAGCAGCTTCATCCGCCTACACAGGATGCGTTAAGACAACTGAAGTAACGGTCAGCGCCATTCTGGAAGCAATTCAAAGCCTGAAACACAACTGTACGTATGTGCAAATAAATATCAAACAAATCAAATAAATCCTGAAGCACAAAAAAACCAAACAAAAAAACTCCCACTAAGTACACAAACTGACACAACCAAAGTAACTTAACATTTTATCCACATTATCTCCCTCCTTATTAGTTTGTCGTCAACAGTATTTAAAAAAAACCTAATAATAAAAAAAGTGTATTATAGTTATTGTCTGGTAATGAACTACTGTCAGACAAAACACTTGCAACTCGTTTTAAAAGGCAAATGTATATCCCAGGTGTCCTACCTGACTATTCTTTTTGTGCCGTGAGGGAAAAAAAAAAAAAAAAAAAGAGGAAAAAAGAACAAAAAAGTGATTTGACACGGCTCATAAATACTACTTGTTAAAACAACAGTAATCCCTGCACTGCTGCACTCTGAGGCCGTCAATCACATTAATATGGCGCGTGTGTACAGTCAAATCTCATACTTTGCATATTACAGAGTGAACTTCAAGGTTAGAAACTTGGCTCGGATCTTAGAATAAAATCTACTGTGGTTAGATACAGTGCTACCCAAACACAGATTCACTTAAACTGCAGTCACAACGGCTTCTAAAAGATTAAAATCTCTTTCATACACAACGTGTGTAACTGTGGTGGTAGGTTCATTTGTCTAAGTAAATGTTTTTGGCTTTCAGACCTGCTTCCGTGTGTCAGTTCATAAGCTCCCACTTTGTTCGTAATCGACTCAACAGCTTGTCATGCCAGACAAACCACATCACACACAGACCAAGTGTGTGTTTTTGCTACAGCGCACTGCCAGGCTGTCCTGCCTACATGATCAATCTTAATGTTCCAGCCACAGACACCAAAGACTAGACATCCAACACACTCACCACTGCCACAACACTGATTAATTCAAAGAAACCAATGACAACAACAGGAGACAGGAATTTAGTGACAGAAACCCAATGCTACTTACATGTGATATTAGTATTGAATATTCGTAAGAAAAAAAAAGAACAAAGGAAAAACAAACACTATAGGGTGTCCCCTCTTTAGATAAAAGTGAGAGATAGCTCACTTTTAAAAAAAAATATTTCCCAGTCTCTCAGAAGCAGCTGATTCAATA